AGGAGAACTGGCAAGACGTAGGAGCCATCACCCTGTGATCACCGCCACATCCCACTGCCTTTCAGAGCTCATTCACTCGTGATGTGGGCACGGACCCACACACTTGCAGGGTTAAACAGATCCTGAGCTCTGCTTTACAAGCTTGTAATCCAAGACAAAGAACTCTGACATGAAGCTGTGACACACTAACAAATGAACCTTCAACACGATGTTAATTAGTTGTGCAAACAGATTTCATGAAGAGCGCTTCCTGACTTAGGGGAAGGAGCCCTTTTCAAACAGATTACAGTGTCATTCATGTATCATCAAATTGTGAAACGAAGATACTTTGAGCCATTAATCACAAATCACCTTTATCTATTTACTAAGACCATCTCCATGGTACCAATTAGCAGAATAACTGGTGTGGGGTTTTTCCCCACAAAGTGAAAGTTAGCAGAGTTTTTAAAAAGCTGTAATTTGGACTTTTCTTAAACCAAACTTCCTTCAGAGCCCTGGAGGCCTAGTACTAAGGGGCTGTGCTGTCAACCCAGAGGTGGTTGCTGTGTACCTTCGAGTCAGAACTGACCCTCCAGTGGGTTTTCAGAGGCAGATAATCATATGGGAAGAGACTGCCCATCTTTCTCTCATGGAGCAAATGGTGAGTTTGAACCACACACCTTTGTGTTGGCAGTGCAATTCTTTACCACTAAGCCACCAGAGTAACCCAAAGGCAGGAGGTTCAAATACACCAGCTGAAAGATGGGCAATCTCCTCCCATGCAGTTTACAGCCTCTGAAAACTCGCTGGAGGGTCAGCTATAGTTGGTTCTGATTCAGTGGCACAAAACAACAACAGACTGTCCTTCAAAGTAGTTCAAATTGGTGAGATTTCTCTGGTTGGTAAAAAAATTTGCAACAACGCACTGAGTGATATGCTGATCGAGTCCCCATCTTATCCGTCACTGTGGACCCAGCACAACACTTGTGGACACTCCCCTTCCCTCTCCCCCACCCCCCCGCTGTTGATGGAGCTAATTCACACTTTTAACAACTCATTGGTAGGTTTCCAAGGCTGCACACCTTTGCAGGAGGTCATTGCCCATCTTTCTAGCACAGAGCAGCTGACAGATTCAAACTGCTGACTTTGCCATTAGCAGCTGCGCAGGCTACACCACCAGGTCTCCTCTGACACACAGTAAGTGCGTAATTCTTGCTTTGTGCTGGGGACAGGTCGAAGAGCAGAGGATCCTGGGATGCTGTGTTTCGGCTCCAAGCCTACTGGAAGTTTTGTTCCTCCCTTTCTCTCTCTTCCTCACGAGGGATTACAGATGCTTCGCTTCAGGAAGTGTTTGATGGCCATCAAGGACTCAGGGAGCAGTAGGGAGTAGCACTGAGGGGCAGAGCAGACAGAAGGACCCCCTCACCTCCCAAGGCATCTGTTCCTGGCTGTCACTGTCCTTTGTCAACCTACCAGCTGTGGTTCCAGGGAGAGAAGCATGTCTTCCTGTAGATGGAGCCACTGGCTCCACTGCTATCTCACTACCATCACAGCCTCACTGCATACTTCTCCCACCTCCGATATGCTCCGTTATGGTCAAAATAATACATGTAATAAAAAGTTTGCCAGCTTAACCATTTTAATAACCTAGTGTCTCTTCAACGTCACGCTAGATGGAGAAAAGACTGAAACAAGTTCACCTTGCTTGGTTCAGTCAACACTCTACCAGCAGTCAGGAATTCAAAGGATGTGTTGCCACTGGAAAATCTGCTGCCAGAGACTTCTCCAAAATGCTAAAGAGTAACAACATCAAAGAGTAAGGTATACCTGACCCAGACCAGGGTCTTTTCAATCACTTGCTATGCATCTCTCAGAGCTGGAAATGAACAAAGATGATGACAGAACAAGAACTGATGCCTTTGAGTTGTGCTGAAGTGTAGTACTGAAAATCCCATGGGCTGACAAAAGAATAAACAAACATGTCTTAGAGAAGGTGTAACCAGGGTTCTCTTTAGAGGTAAAGGTGGGGAAATTTTGTCTCACGTACTTTGATCATGTTGTCAGGAGGGACCAGTCCTTGCGGAAAAAAGACATCATGTTTGAAGAAATGGAGGGTCATCGAAAAGAGGGGAAGAACCTCAACAAGATGGAATGACCATGTGACTGTATCAACGGGCTCAACTATATCAGAGATGATACCGATGGCACGGAACAGAGTGAGGTTCAGATGAACAACGGTTCTTAGGGCCACTATGAGTCGTAGTTGATACGATGGCACTTTACAACAGTTGTTGTTGTTGTTTGTTGTTATGTGCCGTCGAGTCGCCTGCGACTCGTAGCGACCCTATGTACAATAGCCCTAAACTCCGCTCTGTCCTGTGCCAATCGCACTGTTTCTGACACTCCCATCCCAATTATCCTAGTCACTGAATCAATCCACCTCATAGAGGGCCTTCCTCTCCTGCGCTGTCCCTCCACCCTCCCAAGCATGATGTCCCTCTCTAAGGACCGGTCTCTCCTCACAACATGTCCAAAGTATGTTAGACGGAGCCTCAGAATCCTTGCCTCCAAGGAGCCACCCAGTTTAACCCTTTCCAGGACAAATCTGTTTGTTTTACAACAGTATCTTTTCAAAAAGTTATTTAAATACCTGTTCTCACTTGTTCAGAAGAGCAGTCGGATGTTGCTAGCAGCATGAGAGAAGGAACTCACTTCCACCTTATCTCCAGAGTGTTCAGCCTGACACTCAGCAACACACAAGTCCTGCATCCCCTGGGTCCGCCCTGCTCACAAAGCAGCCTGTGGGTCATGCTATTTCTCTGGGGTTTGTCTGCCCTCGGCAGGCAGCATCCCAACAGGGAGTCATCTTGGTGGGATGACTCGCAGTGAGACTGTATCCTCCTATCTTTGGTGATCTGGGACCCTCCTCACAGGCCCCTGAACTGCTGCTGGCTTCCTCATGTCATCCACGATCTCAGGACAGCTTTAGAGGAACAATCTTGTCTCTGCTGCAAAACACTGAGCCATGCCAGGACTGGACGCTCTCCATTAGAGTAAGCACTTCCTGGGTCAACAAGATCTTTAAACACATAAAAGCCTTTGGGAAGCATGTTAATATCAAGTGAACGCCTTCCTAAAGGGATGGTGGCATTAGAGGGGTGGATAACAGGAAGGAGGCAGGATAAACCGGTACAGGGGAGCAGCTTAAGGAAGAGGGGTTGGATATAAAGGTCCTCTCTGAAGACCATGATCCTGGGGGTGATTTTATGCTCAAGGCATTCAATAGTCAGTGATGTAAGCATACAAAACATCAATCCATAGGATAGCAGCTCTGGTGGCCTGGTGGTAAGAAGCTGTACTGCTAACCCAAAGGCAGGCAGTTCTAATCCACCAGCTTCTCTAAAGAAGAGAGATGGGCAATCTCCTCCCCGGTGATTAACTGCATCTGAGAACCCGCTGGAGGGTCAGCTCTGGGTTGTTCCCGACTCAGTGTTACACTCAGTAGTGCACAATAACAAGCAAAGGAAAGAAATAAAGCAGCCATCTTTTTCCTAAAACCCAGCAAACTTTAGAAGTCCTGGCTGCCTCAGCAAATGAAGAGCAGGCACAGTTACATCATCCATACGTTAGTTAAGAATAAAAGTACTTCACACAGCTGCGTAACAAATTGTGCTGGTGTCCTCTCAAAATTTGTAAAACTCAAAATGGCAATTTTTGCCAGAAAAGCACAGCTGAAAGTGCCCCCCAGACAGTGCCATTGGAAGGGAATGATGGCACCCTTTCCTCTTATGCCTACGCTGTGTCTTTGCCTGGGCTCCCTCCCCTGCTCTCTACATTTTATCTGGTCGTCAAATGGCTACACTTCTGTCACACGGTGCAGAGCAATGCTCCCATCCACAGAGTAAACCAGGTCTCCACCCATGTGGAGGTCTTCAGTGGTACAAACAGTTCATGCCCCTGGCTGCTGTCCCAGTGGCCAGAGGTGCCAGGTTGCCCGGAAGCACCTTGGAACAAAGGCCAGTGTTTTACTTCTGAAAACCAGCCATTCAAAAATTAAATGGACTGTTGGTTGAAGGGAAAGGAGATACACACAAAGAGTTTAACTGTTACATGTTGTTGAGCTGCGATCCCCTCCAGAGGGCTTTCAGAGCTCCTAATGGCTTTGTGGTAAGAAATTGTGGGGCCAACACAAGGGGCTCACATCCACCAGCTGCTCCCCGGGTGAAAGATGGGCGATCTCCTCCTGAGAATTACTGCTTCTGAGAAGGTGCTGGAGGATCAGCTACGGGTTGGCTCGGACTCGACTGCACGTAAGAAAAACCACCAGTGGGCTTTCAGAGGATCTAATACTCCAGGAGGGGCAGCCAGCAGATTCAAACTGCTGACTTACTCACCAGGCCACTGGAGTTCCCTAAGGGGAGGATTAGCCATTGTAATTAAGTAATTACATGAATCAATGGTAATTAATGCTATAAAACTTGTATGGATGTGCCAATGAACAGTTAATTACGTTATAAATCAAAACATGCACAGACAAATAAAATCATAAATATAATATTATCAAACAAACAAACCAACCAATCAATCAAGCTGAGCTTCCACTTAGGAAATAACAATCCCTCCGGAGCAGAGCTGTTCTCTGACACATGTGAGTCAACGCCAGCTACACTTCAGAGGCCCTGCGGTTCTGGGGGGCACAGCTCCTGTGCTGACCTGGAGGCTGGGAGGTAGAGCCATCGGAGAGAGAGGCCTGGTCCACCAGCTCAGGGGCAGCCCTGCACCCGGGAAGCTGTGAGATAACCCCCTGGACATAAAGCCCCATGGAATAGCTCTTCGTGGAGTACTCTCATCCAGGGTCTCACGTGTCTCCATACCAACCATTTCCCATTTGTTTTCTTTCAATGGAGTTTTGTCTTTTCTCCTCCTCCCCTTTCACCTGAACCTGGAGCCCCTTTGACCCCTCTCCTTGGGGTACAGGACCTAACCCTTTGAGGCGAGGTGGCCGTGACAGAGGCACCTACCTTGCCCAGGCCCGGGGTGTCCTTCACCTTGCTGACTGCTCTCAACAGGCAGGGTGGTGCGGGCGGCGGCGAGGTCTGCAGGATCCCGCTGAAGCTGGTGCCAAAGAGGGGCAGCTCAGCCACTGATGATGGAGATGGCCGCGGTTTCTTCTTCTTAGAAGACAGGTTCAACTTCTGGGCGGCTCTGGAGGGAGATGAAGAGAAGTGACAATGAGGGAAATGACTGTGCAGTCACACGAGATGGGGTGACTTGCCGACTCTTCAAGGATGCTCCCATCTGCTCACCCTCACAGCTCTGCAACAGTCCTTCTGTCCACCACAACCCTGTTAGGTCTCAGCGAAGCCATAAAACGCACCGACTGGAAATCAGCATTTATAAAGGGATGTTGGCTCCCCACAAACCCTTGTTTTCGCAGGAATACTGCTTTGAGGATAAACACCACCAACTAGGTTACTCATTCCAAATGTCTCTGGTACAAACTCAGGTATGAGTGAATGGTTAAGAATCCTAACACCTTGAAAGACCCTCCCCCAAGATGACGGGCCATGCGGCCTGCAGTCGAGGGGTGTTATATACACAGCTGTGGAAGGAAAACACAAGCCCGAGTTATCAGGGGGCTGAAAACTATGCTGGTTCAAAAACGGCCACAAATCAGGCCAAGGTGCTGAGCTGAGAGCTACTTTTCTGCAGGAAGGTGTTAAAGCACGAAATGCAATTCACAGGCAGATGTGGGGAGTGGGGTGCAAATGGAGAAAGGAGTGTGAGGGGGCCAGAGAGTTCACATAGTTTCTATAGCTCATAGTAGCCTGTAACTTTTAGAATACAATACCCTTATCACCTAGAGCAGATATGAGTCAAAGTTGCTTTAAAAAACAAATTATTGGTTTGCATATAATCATTCATATACATCATACTGTACATGTACTTTGTGTGCTATACAATCATTCATAAACATTGTTTCATTCATGACCCTGTGTTTTATACAATCATTCATATGTATTACATTTTGTATGATTACCATTGCTCTATTATCTCTCCAGTCTTTTCATGTCTCCTTAAACATTTGTTTTTCAATCTTTCACATGCCTCCACCCACTAAATGTGGCTGTCCCATGGGTTTTTCCTCTTCTCTTTTTATGCCCCTTCTTCTGCACTTCCTCTTCTGAATATTTATACTTATCTTTCTCATAATAGTGGCTTTAGGGGGGTGTGTCCTTAGGTGACTGAGATATTTCACTCAGCATAATGGGCTCTGGTCTCTCCCAAGCTATAGTGTTTTATGAAGTCATTGTTAGTTAAGCTGCATGGTATTCCACTGCATGAATGCACCATAATTTCTCAAGTCATTCGTTTGTTGATGGGTATTTGGACTTTTTCTATTTTCTTGCTATTGTGAATGACACTGCTCAACCTGAAGAAGATAAAATCAAAGCATGAGCTTTTATTAAGATGAAACCCCTGCGTGGACCATGTTTCTTCAGTAAGGTGAAAGAAAGCCCACAGATTTGGGAAAAAAGTATTCGGCAAGAGCATTTCAGAGAAGGGCCTCATAACTAAAGTTTTCAGTACCCTACAGGGGCTCCACAAGTAAAAGGCTGATAACTCAAAATGGGCAAAAGATACAGACTCTTTACAAAGAAGGACATTCAGAGAGCCAAGAAATACATGTGGGAATGTCCACAATCACTAGAAATCGATGTTGCTTTAAAAAATAAAAAAGCAAAACTCTCTGTTTGGAGACCGCCATCAGAAAGCTTAATTCTCCAAGAGGAATTAAGACAAGCAAACAAGTGTGACTTCATTTCGAATAAGAGAAAAGGCCATTCTCAAGCAGCATATCTCCTTTTCCACTGCTCAGCTGTTATTTGCTGTGCTGTGATACTGGAAGCCAGGCCCCACTGTGTTAAACCCCAGCAGGGTCACCACCTTATAGAGGCTACAGAGGGGCTTCCAGCCCAAGACGAGGGGAAAGACCTGCTGATCGACAGCTAAAGGGCCACCAGTCAACATTGTCCAAGCGTCTTCCCTGCAGATCACAAAGGGAGCATTCCCAGCTGAGTGCTGGCCGGAAGGCGGGCCCCAAGGTTGGAAGACACTCAAAATGCACAGCGGCTACAACAATGGACAAGAGACCACGACGATGGAGGGAAGTCGGCACAGGGCCACGTAATGATCACACATGGATGGGGTTGGCACAAGTCAGACGTGGTTTGCAGGTAACAAAAAACACAATCAAGTACTTATTACTGGCTCAATTCTCGGTGTTGCCTCACTCTATACAAACACTATGTTTAAGAATTCAAATTTCCTCATTGAACGCTATTAAACAACTGACTGGCTGCTTAAAACCAAGAACGCCATGACTTTATTTTGTGGATCACTCCTTCTAGACCATCCATGGCTTCCATCCATTGCCTAGCAGGCTGCTAGAAAAACAAAGAATCAAGGTTGCTCAGACCTACTTCCTTCTCCATTAAGGATCTGAAGCAGCTGGTTTCAATTTTGTATCGATGACCACCAGACTTCTGACAGACCCTGAGCTCAAAAAACTGACACTGCACATCATCATCATCATCATCATCATGATTTCAAAGTTCAATTTTTTTCTCGGCCACAAAATTGAAAACCTGTTGGGCAAAAGTGAGACGCGGAGGAAGGGTATGGTGGGGGCACGGCAGATTTTAATGACAGGCTCAGGAGAGGAGAGGTCTGGTCCCTCCTGCAAGAGGCGCAGGAATGCAGCCGCACCTGCAGACCTTTCCCCTCAGTCACCTTGTTACAAGTCACAAGCTATTACCACGGAGCCGGAACTGACCCACTGCTGAGTGTCCAGTGGATTTTCAGAAGCCATAAGTCTCACAGGAGATGGCCCAGCTTTCTCCCATAGAGACCCTGGAGAATTGGAACCCCAAGAGAGCCCATTTTGGGGGCTAGTAGTACAACTCCCTATTCATTTAGGCCACCAGAGCTCTCTATGTTATTACAAGATGATGAAAAATCAGAGGCCTTGGGATCAGCTTTTCAGAATATTTCCTTTTGCCAATGAGACAAAAGGAAAAAAAAACCCGTGGGAATACAGTTCCTACTCACACCGCCTACCTCCTAGTCCAGCAATGATTTCATTGCTATTCTTGCCAATCCTTCCCTTAAAACTTTAAGGGGGGAAGTAACTCTTCTATTAGCCATCTGGGGCTTCTTGTGACAGTTTCCATTAATCTTGGAGGTTCTATCCCTAAGTGGACAGCGACTCCCCTGGGGGTGCGTGTCAGGTGGTGGCAAGCAACATCAGCAAACGCCCTCATGGCTGCTCAACCAGGCCACCTAGGTTCTGTAGGGCCAGGACTGAGGGAAGCACTGTCATCTGCCAATCACTGAATGGTGGTGCTTGTCCATTTGCCTTTAGAATCTTTCCATGCTCCCAGCCCAACATGAGTAGACAGGAGGAGAGGAAGAAGCTGAACCTGGTGTCAGAGGAGGTAAGTAGTCTGGTAACTTTCTCCCTCCCATTCTGCCTGGCTGCTACCCATGCTTACCCACTCTGCTCAGATTAGAGGGACTGTGTTCAATTAAAGCATGTAAAACATTGATGAGCATTTCCCTCCAACCTTCTGTTAGCTTTCATTAAAATCA